TCTACAAGTTATCCAATAAGCCTTCTCACCCTTCATTCATTATTGACATTCAAAGGCAATGATATATTTCAATCACTATGGGGACACTTACATAATCCACAACTCTTTTGAGTAACTTCACATCATTTTCTCGAGATCCACAGCTCTCCTCCAACTGTAGGTGCAATGCTGGAGAAAAAGATTCTCCCACTACTTTTAAGCCAGAAATCCTAAAACAAATAAAAAGACTTTGATACACATCCTACTTGAACACAAGTGTGAAAATTCTAGACAATGTTTCCCCTTTCTAGGTGGTGAGTGAGAAAAGAGGGATATTTCACTTTACTAATACTAATGCAGACAAAGACAACAAAACTTATCAAGTGAATATCTTTCCTAAGGAGTTTACTAAATGTGGTTTCAGTAGGTTTTTGTAATGATAGTGACTTCTCCTCTTGCAAAAAGGATTAACAATTCAGAAATTCTAGAAGTATCCATATGAAGATGTAAGAGAAATATTCATGTTAGCCCTGTATGTTGTTGATAAAAACATGGTCAAGTTTTGGAGTCTACATTAAGGAAATAAATAATAATAAATCTTTGTATCCACTTATGGGATAAGGAACAAGATTTATTTTGTTTGGTAAAATCTGACAAAATTTCTGATTTTAGATTATATGCTATAGAAAATCTTTACAACATAATCTGTCACCGAGTCCAAAGTTCCTCTAAAACTAGTTATATTACTAGAATTGTTCCCACATCTGTACATAGGGACAGTTGTTAATTGGGTTCCTAGAATGTGACCGAATGATTAGCATTTGATTGTTGTTGTCCTGACATATCACACACATTCTGGATCGAGTTATTCCCCTCCAGAAATCTGTATCCAAAATCCAATCAAGACCTCTGGTCTCTAAAACTGACAGGCCCCATAAAACTCACATCCACCACCAGCCATAATTCGGATTTCATGACATTGATGAGCTTGCCTTACACACATTTTTAAGAAGACCAGGATTATCTGATATAGGATCACTCCAAAGAAGTATAATCAATCATGTATTAGAGACTTTGTTTGAGTGTTTTTCAAGGTTATTAACTTCTGTACTATGTAACAGAGAATTGTAGAAGAAAAAGAATGGTAAAATGCAATTGCATGATTGCTGCACATTAAACATTCATTGAATAGTCAAAGTACTTCCTATATTTTAGTATCAAAACCTGTCAGGAAAATAGAAAGCAATTACTCAGTATAGCCATCTTTTAAACCAGCATGGTGTTAGAAATTTTTAAACCTTATTTTTCAGATAAATTCTAGTAATATTCTATGTACTTCCAGAATAATGGATACTTCTATTCCTACTTAACATTCAAGTCTCATATGTAAGAACAATATTGTATTAAAGGTGACTGAAAGACGCACCAAGTGGTCTAAGAGTATCTGCTAAGCTTCACCCTATAATGCTTTTACTTAGACAATTTTCAAAAGGCTTATCAACACTTAGTATCATTGAGAGCTATCACACTTTCCTAAAGACTTAAATGTGTAAGAGCTGTGCAAACTTCATCACTAGCATTAAGGTATAATCTCATTTCAAGATCTGCAGAGGATTTTAAAAACTCGGACTCCTTTCAACAGCATAACAGAAACAGCCGGGAAAGGATGATTTTCTTCCTTTAACAGATACATAATTTAGTGTACACATGCCACTCTAAGCATCTGTAAAGCAAGAAAAGATTTGGGCAACAAGAGCTCTTTAAAGTTGGCATCATAAAGGCATAGCCAAATGCAGAACAGCCAAAACCACCCACAAACCCACACTTACCCGTGTAGAGCTTTGTGAATTCGTTCACATTTAGCCCGGAGAGTCTGAAAAATGTCTACACACAAAAAAAAAACCAAAGAGAAAAAAAGGAAAGGCTTAGATATCCTTTCTCTACTTAACATTTCTCTTAGTCCAAGATTACAAAAATAACATTTGGAAAAAACTCTAAGATATGTGTAGCCACTGTACCACTAAGTCTCTTGACTACTCTTCATAGTGTTCCTGATTCCACTTCTGGAGGCAACAACAGGCTTTAAAGACCTGACAAATGCACTACTTCCCTTTATCTCATTACTCCAGCTGCCTTGATTCATGAACACATGGAAAGGATGACACAATCACTTGGTAATGAGATTGATATAGCATGTCCAACTTCTAAGTATCTATAAAGCATCTACTGCCATGCAGACTCTGCTCCTTGATCCCTTCACCAATTCACTGAAGATTCTTAAAGCAGAAACTTTGTCTGCTGGTCTGCAATCCTTGGCCTTTTCTCCTTGGTAAAGGCTGACCCTCCAGTGCATCTAACAGTCCTATAACTTACTCTTAATTTCTTACTGATTTTGCTTTCCTTCAGAGGACTAGGCATGGGCTACCCAGTAATTTTTATTTATTTGTCACAAATTAAATACTACATCTCTGCAGATGCCCTCAAAACTGTTGATGCAAAGGAAGGTTAAAATTAAGTATACACAATTTGGCCATTTTGTCCTCATATGCCTCCCCCCTCCACTCCCTACAAAACAGAACACCCAAAAACCCCACCAATCAACCAATCAAAAAAAAAAATCATGTTTTCCTGGTGGTCTGGTTAGGATTCAGCACTCTCATTGCCACAGTCCAGGTTCAATTCCTGGTCAGGGAAAAGTGATTTTTCTAGACCAGGCTGGATGGGGCTCTGAGCAACCTGGACTAGGTGTCCCAGCCCACGGCATGGGGGTTGGAACCAGGTGTTCTTTAAAAGGTTCCTTCCAACCCAAACCATACTATGATACAACAAATACAAATCTCTCAACTCCTTAAAACACAAATTCCCACCTCCCAACTTTATCCAAATGCCCTGCACTTGGTCCTGCCCCAACCACAGGCAGTTTCCACCATGATCATTCCTGAGATTCTTGCCTGAATGCTTCCTTGGAGAAGGAAAATGCAATGATGTAGGGCAAGTGGAAAAGAAAAGACTGTTCAGTCCTGAGGAAATATATTCCATTCCCATTTTTTTAATATTTAACCTTCCTTTCCTCCACTTGTCTTGAACTAATTTGTTTTCAAGGAAGAAGCATATCACTGAACGACAACGCAAAATAAAAATTTCTTATTTGCTTTGTAAAAACTCTCTCTGTCCCTCCTATCCTCAACTAATGTGCTCATTTTCAGCTCTAAGAAGAAAAGCACTGAAGAACAGTAGGGAAGGAAATAATATGAAGGAAAAAAATGCATGTAAAGAGATTACTTAAGAGTAAAAAGGTGAGCAACCAAAGTAGGGAGAAGTACGAGTTACTAGTATTGGGTGAAGAAAGACTAAAGAATGACATTTTCGTGAATTAAGTACCTGGATTATCTTCCATAATATTCAGAGCCTCAATAGCAGCAGCAGCTAACAAAGGAGGTAGGGATGCAGAAAAGCAGTAGCCTTGACCAGACAATCGCTGTGGGGGAAAAGGGAAAAAATAAAATTTTAAAAAAAAAGCTAAATTTTTGTTCATAACAGTATAGATTTATAGATTTTATAACAGTATAGTTTTAAAAGTCAATTGACATACATATAAACCACCTCTCCTCCACACCTACAGGTATATGTAAGGATTTAAAAGGAGGTCTTCAATTAATCTACAATATTTCATAGAACCAGACAGTTTCTGTATGGACTCAAATATTGCAGAATAATCTATAAAATAATAGTCCTTGCAAACTGATATTAGCGGTTAACTCTCACTTCCAAGTAACTAATCCTGCCACATCATTTAAAATGACAGCTGGCTTACCTGATGGTCAATAATAAAAGATCTTCCACAGCAAAATCCTCCAATAGAAGCCAGTGAATTTTCCATGTTTGCACTAATAAGATCTATATCATCAATCTGTCATGTAAATCAACAAGTTATTAGGAGATGCTTTTAATTACATCAAGAATATAAGTTAAATTTACTAAAAATATTTCTTGTTTAATTTCATCATGACTACTAGAGAAGACCCACCCAACTATCCCATAATAAAATGAATCTACAACCAAAATAATTATTTTATGCAAACCAGAAAGGACTTTAGAAATTGAAGTTTATGGATCTGCAAATAATTTATATAGGATCACTCTGTCAGGCAATGCAATGTGAAGAACAGACAAAACAAATTATTTAGGTACTGGTGACAATTCCACAAAGCAGTCAGTACGATGGTATCCTTTAAGAAGGTAAGTAGTCCCACTGCAGTCAGCAGGAGGTAGAATGTAATCAAAATAAAGCATAAGCCAAGTTAAATGAATTAGAACCTTAGAGACATAACTGACTCATTTCACTTGTTACAGATTTTTTTTGCGAGGATCTGAATGATTGTGTCTGTAAATGCATTTAACATAAAAGTCCATTAATCAGAAATGAATTTAACATACAATTCAGTTAATCAGAATGCCCTTGGCAAGCACCGCAGTAACACTGTGTGTATCCTCTCCCATATTAATTTTCTCTCTTCCACATTTGGTATTAAGACACTTGAAGTGAAAAGACATAGGGGAAGGCAGTATGAATTCTCAGAATCTGCTGTTTCACTTCCAAGCTGAACTCAAGACACTATCAGAATATAGTGAGAGACACTCCAGACAGGAACACCAGCAAACAAAGAGCATTTTGTTCCACTCAGCTCAGGGGCCTATGGTAGCAAACAACTGCAAGGGTACCATTTTGGATTTCCAAAGTACTCTTCAGCTGCATGGACACCACAAAAGGCAGAGCCTTGAAGAAATAGTTTGGCTTAATCTGCCAGTAAAGTAGTACAACATCATCTTTGAAAGAACTATCCGAAGTTTTATACTGGTTTTACCACTGGAGTAAAAAGCAATAGAGCAAAGGAAGCTGACTATACACGGCAAAGAGTTTTCTGACTTACTCCTAGACCCCAAATATTTCTCTGTCAGAGTGACATTTAAGTGTATGTGGCTGGAAAATGCAGCAATCATCATCCCATCAAGTGTCAAAAAAAGAAGATAGAATTATGCACTGTAAAAATTCTTTTGTTATCTTTCTCACTAAAGATAAGTAATATTATTTCAAGCAAGCACACAAGAGTGCCAAGACCTGCAGGCTTTAAGGCTGATAAAGAAAAAATGTTTAAATGTCTACTGTACACTACCAAACATTGTTAATGCCACAAGTATTAGAAAACGATTGCACAATTTGCTTCACAACAAAAAACCTCACATACATTTATTCCAAAGTGTTCGGTAATTCCTCTTCCATGTTCTCCAAGGACTCCAAAGGAAAGGCTCTCCTCCAAAAATATTCTAACTTTGTATTTATACTTCAGTTTTATCTAAAACAAAGAAAATTATATAAAATACAAGGCAGGCCCCTCAGAATTTGTTAACAAAACACATGGGGTAAAGAAAGACAAGGACAGTACTCTGAATACTGCATAAATGTCAGTTCTAGAGTTTTGTTCTGTCATTAAGACACTTTTAAAACCTTGAAAATTATTCCATCATGTAACACTAGAGCAAATTTCATAAAAGTTCATAATATATAAAAAAAATTTAGATTTTGTTTTTATAGGCTATCAAGTTCTTTCAAGATTGTGCATTTTCGCAGCATTTCTTCCATTATCTACTACCATAGAGGCTGCACAAAAAGCCGTTTTATGCTGAACAGCAAACGTTTTCCTTGGAGTCACCTGTCTGACAGTTGTGTGAAGGCTTCTTTGAAACTACTTTTCTTTTTACTTTTTTAAGATATAACCTAGTTTAATGATTTCATGTTGTACAGTGTAGCTGCAAATATAGTATATTTTACAGATTAAAAACAAAAATCATAACCAGATAATAATTTCTAAGTCTCAATAGCTTCAGAAGTTTCAAAACAAGGCAAGATTTGGGATCACCATTTATGAGCCTATGAGAAACCAAGAAGGTAAACAAAAACACTTCATGCAGAGCTTTTCTATGCAGGCTTATACAGTATCATTACTTCATCAGCTGTGGCAAACCAAAACGACTTACCAGCTCTGGAAGAGGGCAAATGTCGCCTGTGTTCATATACAATCCTTCCACTACAATAAACCTTCGAGTTACACGGGCCTTGCGAGGATTCTTCAGAGAAAGATACAGGTTTAGTTCAATTGTTACTTACAAGCAAAGCTCTAAAGACTTTTTTTTTGGTCTTTCAAATAAGCTGTTACTTTAAACTTGTTATTTTTCATCTGTACCAAAAGCTGAAATGGCTCATTGGACTACTTTGCCCTTTTTTTATTTTGTAATAACTCTAAAGCTTTCGGCTCCTACACAAGACTCAAGATGCCTTGTTTTGCCACAAATCATAACCAATCCGTTTGAACTTCATGAACACAATACAAACAATGCAACTCCAGAACAAATACTACAAATCTTGGTCTCTATTACACTCGTACTAGTCCAAGCATTTACAAGACTTTTCAACAAGTGGTTTGAGCATCAGGATTCACAATGCAGCACAAACCTCTTAGAAGTAGTGTCTTCATAAAACACAATGCAAAAGTATTCATAACACTCGAGTTACTAAGTCCTTGTCTGATCTCTGCACAATACAGGGCATAAAAATATCTTGTTTCTGCTTAAACTTCAATGGCAGAATTTGAATTTTGCTGCTTTAAAACACCATTCCTCTTTTATCTACTTTAAACCTTGTTTGATATTTTCTGATCAAGAATATTAAGTCATGCTTCTTACATTTTCCAGTTCTTGTAAAAAGATTCAGAGAACACCTATTTGACCTTCCTGAGTGGTAGACACCAAACTAGCCACAGTCCATTCCACAAGTTGTACCAACTCACCCTAGTGGTATGATCTACCCCTTTCTAGTCAGTGTGCCTTATACACAGTTATACACACATGCTCTATATTAAGCTCTTGCCCACCAGCTTTACATTCACGTTCAGCTAATTACATTAAGAAACTTTAACTATGTAGCTAATTCAAAGCACTCTGCTCTAACCAACTGAATGTGTTACACAAATTAGTCTGACAACCACATCTAAAAACTCATATAAAGATTATCTGACAAAATGTATATTCTGTGAAGGTATGTTAACTACTATGTTATCTATAAATATGCTATTAATCTGATCCATTACAGATTTACATTGATGTTAAGCTGACTGACAATTTATCTACTTTAGTTTTTCTGTGTGGTAGGACAAAATCAGCTTTCTTCCAACTGTGTGTAACTTTCCAGCATTCTGTGAACAAATCATGCAATGATGATAGTTATAGAGTTAATTCTTTTAAAACTCACTTAACCAAGTTATCCGTACTTGCTGATCCTGATTTCAGTAACTACCTTTGGACATCCTTTTGAATTACTGTCAAAATGAGAACCAAGACAACAAACTGACTCAAATTTTTCAAGAAAGAGAACATCTGAAGAGTTGAATGCAGGATAGGGGAAGACTAAGAAAAACAAAATCAACCACGTTCACTCCATAAATTCAAGGGTTAGGACTAGCCATTTTTATGTTGATTTTAGAGTGTGGCATTCAAAGTGATAGTTATCTTGCATGATTTATTAGGCAAATGCAGTTACACAAATTTCTCAGAAACCCAAAAAAAAGTTCTTGACAGTATTTAAAAAAAATATTAAAAAAGAGCTCACACTTCAGTCATCTACCCATAAAGATATTTCCCTGCTACCAATGCCTGTTAGCTCACTTCTAGTGGTTAAGCAGACAAGGGAAAATAAAACAATTTTTTTCAAAATAATAAATATCTTAATTACATAAGCAACATTAACTGCTCAATAGAGATTTATGTAAACCAAGTAACTGCCTATAAGCACTGCATCCATTCAACTACACGACCCAGTAAAAAATGTGGAGGAGGTGGCACAAAAGAGTACAAACATTTCTTCAAAGGAGTGGTACCTTTTGATCTTCAGTCTCTTGTTCTTTCAACAGCCGTTCAAGGTCAGCCATATCATTATGCTTAAATAACTTGATGTTACTACGAGATGCTTGTAATCCCTTCTGAATAGCAAAGCAGGCAGCTTCATCTCTGTAAATACAGCAGACCCCTCTAAGTTTGCACTCAGTTTAACAATTATTCAAAGAGAGCTGGCTATTAGGACTGTCCTGCTTTTGAGCAGATATTTGTACTTGTGTAGATAAAGCCAGATTTTTTAAGGCACTATATATTTTATCTACATTTTGAAAACTAATTTCCAAAGCTTTTCAGTTTTCCTATGTGCTGTACTTACTAAAAGTAAGTCAACAGTAGTGCTGAAGTGTACACTGGTCCTTTTGTTTGTATGTGACAGCAGCTTGAGCACAGCATTCCACGGACCAGGTACAGTACCATGGTAATCATCCCAGTGTACTCTCACTTCATTTGCTTTGGGTCTTAGGGAAAAAACCCAAAGATGCGCCTGTTACATTTACAGCGGTCCTCCAAGTATTCAAAACCTCCATTTTAATATCCTTTTGGAAATAATACCTCGGTGTTCAAAGAACTATCCACCATTTTTAAGTGTTGGAACAGCAAACTTCTGAGCATGATGGGGTATGTAATTTCACAGCTGCTTTGGTCAACTAATCTTGTAAACATGGCACCTAAATCAAACGTTCTGCACATGCGAAATGCAGCAATTCCAACCAAGCTGCTTTCAAATATGGTGAGATCTTTTGTCACAGAGAAGCTGAAACAGCACAAGATAACTAAATCCAGGATACACTGGCATCCTTGAGTAGTGTGTATAATCCTGGTGACTTGCCTCAAAAACACTGATTCAGAAAATATTCAAAGATGACCAAAAGACACAATTAAATTTATGAAAGAACTTCTGCAGAGAAATCAAGTTGGCTGCAAGCCTTACACTTAGGAAGGAGAGCACCAAAGAAACATTTTGGCAGATGACTGCAAAACTATCACTGTGTTGTGGCTTAAACATAGCAGCAGCTAAGCCCCACATAGCCACTCACTCACTACCCCCATAGGGAAAACGCATCCATTCTCCGTCTGAAAATCAAGTTCATCAATTGAAATTAGTAAGTATTGTATTCAAAACAGCTATTTGTTCATATCTTCCATAAAATGTTCAAGTTGAACTGTGAAACTGCATGTCATAAAAACATTGTGGATATTAAAGATCTAAGGTGCTAAAAGAATCAGAAGGCTTAAAAAAATCCATCAGTTCTTACTGAATCCAAACCCTTTTCTTTAGCTCTGAAGCCATGAGTATTGTTGCATTGTTTCTGCTCACATTTTACTCTTCCCTAGACAAATTATTACTGGCTACTCTCAGGGACCATATACCAGGCTTAGTGAATCCTTTGTTTGACCCTGCATAGCTCTTCTTGGGTTGTTTTAATATGTACCAATATTTATCCAACTAATAATCCATTGCAAATATGTATGAGGGGAATTGCTGTCCTAGAAGAAGTTTAAGCTGCACCAGGGGAAGTGTAGATTGGATATGAGAAAGAAATTATTCTCAGAAAGGGTGCTTAGATAGTGGAATGGACTGCCCAGGGAGGTGGCAGAGTCACCATCCCTCAAGGTGTTTAAAGAGAGACTGGAGGTGACATGTAGTGTCATGGTTTAGTTCACACAGTGGTGTTAGGTCATAGGTTGGACTTGGTGATCTCAGGGGTCTTTTCCAACCTGATTGGTTCTCTGACAGGTGAAAACCTAGCAGTAAACAGGAGAAAAGCAAGTATGACTGTACTATTTATTAAGGAGAAAATTTGGTGTTAGAATTATGTTAATCCATGAATGCACAAGTTATTCTGCTTTTTTTTCAGCTGAGTGTCCAAGCCTGTGCTTTCATGATAAAAGCAGTGACTGGTTAGAAGTATTTGACAAACAAAAGATATTTGAGCTTTGTACCACATAATACTTGATCAAAACCAGCAATATTTTTTCAGCATTCAACTTAATATAATTAACAATCATGATAAATTGAGAGGAAAACTCTTTAATCCAGAATCTCCCAAGCAGAAAACAATACTTACACAAACACAATGTCCCCTCTCTTTGAATATGCAGGAATAGCACTGGCAATTGTTGCAAATCCATACGAGTATATAATAGCTTCCTCTGTCCTCATGAATTTTGCTAGACGTTCTTCTAGCTCTAAGTGCACATCTAGTTGAGAGAAAAAATGAAAAGTTCTTAGATAGTTAACTTGCTTTCATATCACAAAGACTATCACTGCTTTTAGCAATCATTTCATTGAAGTAAACAGAATGTTTGTTTGTAGGAAGAGTGTTACACAACAACTTCCCAAAAACCAGTTGCAACCAATCCAGGCTCAATTAAACTGACAAGTAACCTGATGTTAATCACAGCTTTGACAGATCTCAAAATATTTATGCAACGTGGCTCACTAATGTTCTTATGCAATAGTAATTAAATTCTACTCGTGATTAAGCCACATGTAACTGAAGCAGTGTTCCTGGACTGTGACTAGAGAGTACAGTTACTACAGTCAGACAACAAATTATGTAATTTATAGCAACTAATGAGGTCCTGTTGGCAGACTCTCAGTTCTCCCAAGCTGATGCTTCCATTGCATAAGGATACCTATCATTACAACAGAAAACTGCCCTTGTCAGACTGCAAATCACATACTGTCCCCTGAACACACTTCAGTCAATTGAAAAGGTCACATCTCCCTGCCAGAGATTACTCACCCTCAACATAAATTCACACACACACACACACACACACACACACAAGCATTTCCCAAACCAATTTGGTCAAAGTGACCCATGTTAGAAACAAACACCACTAAATCGAATATTAAAATGGATAATACCAGATGGTGAGTGGATTGTTGCTGCAGAAATGTAACCACAGCATTAAGTATTCTGCCTAAGCAAAACAATCTGTATCAGACAAATGGTTATTCTGACTGTGTAACTCTCTTGTCCCTACCTGCTTCTGCTAGCAATAGTCAGAGAATTATGCCTATTATCAACTGCAAATAAACAAGATTAAAGAGCAATTAAAGGCTGTTACTGGGTGACTTGAACAATCACCACTGGCCAAATGTTACCTTTTTGCACTTATTGAAAGAACATTGAAACTAAAATCAAATAAGAAAACATCAGTTATACATATTCTTCCATAGTCTAATGTGGCAGTTATGTCAATGTTGCTCTTTCTAGTCAGACACCAACAGTAAGGGTACAGAAAGAAAGGGTTTTGTAAAAATGTCAATTCTGCCATACTAAACACATCCAGCATAACCTTTCTCCAAAAGGACACATCCACCTGATTTATACATTTATACAATGAAAGCAAGAGGTATGTCTTCAAACAACAGCCTCCCAATCACAGTCAAGAGAAATTTTATCCATAGCCTGCAAACTACAAACCTTAGACTTCACTCTGACGACAGCATTAGATAAAGACAACCAAGTCTTTATCACAGGAATCAGACTGCCCTCGTGCGGTCTGCCTAGAAACTTCAATTTACACTTCACCGTCCACTATCAAATCCTAAGAGGTTTACTTTCTCTGCTTACTATGATGACCAGAACTAAACCCCACTATAAACCTTGCAATTCTCCTCCAAGACCAGCATGAGAAAGAATCAGAAGAGAGATAAAGTAATAATAAACAAAGCTAGGAACCCCATCCCCAACAATTTCAGTAAACACGTGTTAGAAGATAACTGTTCTTCAGAGCAACAGAAATAATTTGTGGCTTTTATATATAGGACTATTTCGGCTGGCGTACCAGACTAGTCTGAACACATTTTAAGGCAGATCAAAGACAGTTACTCACCAAAGGTACCATAGAATCCTCTAGGTCCACAAGTGCCAACACCGTATTTCTTCAGGGATGCTTGGGCTGCACTCTTTAACAGGAAAGAATTACATGAAGTAATCCTGCACAAGCTCTCCTAACTCTTCTGTACACTTCATACTGACAATTTTACACCAAAGTGCACGAATCAGTTTCTGTATCACATAACATGACCAGATTTACAGGAAGGATACTGTATTCTGTGAATTAATTTCACAACAAAACTACTTTAGACAAGTGTGTAAGCATCATTCGTTTTACTCTAACAGGTAAGGACATTAAATATTAATCTAACTTGATAACATGCTAATATTCAGTAAGTACACCGGATTAAACTTTAGTAAAAAATACAAACTTAAATAGCACAAACTTAAAAGGTTTATAATCTTCCTTGCCGCTTTAGCAGTATACATTCTTGACAAAGTTCATGCTTTCTGAAGTTATTTTTAATTTAAAGATAACATACAATGTAAAAGAGGAATAATCATACAAATACAACAATTGGAAGAACTTACCTTAACCTTTTCATTATCCAGAAGTCCAAGAAAATTAAATGATGCAAAGTTAATACATTCCTTGCCATTAACAGTGATTTTATGTGTGGGAGGACTGAAAAAAAACCAAAAACCTATTGTTATGAATGAACACTTGTCATTTTCATAAACAGGCAAATAGTACAGGAGTTTTGGTTTTCAGCAATAGAAGGCACACAGGTTTTTCAAGATTCTCTCTTTCCATTTCTTCCTTTGCAGCTGACAATCACTATTTAATTTCAGTGTCAAGTCACAAATATACTACTACACTCAGCAAAGCCACTATTCCTGTAATTTAATAAACAAATCATAAATACCTTCCTGAGATATTTAATGATTCCTTGTTGAAATGTATTTCATGCAAAGATGACTCCTGAGGAGATAAATAAAGCTTTTCCTTTAAAATCAAAATGATACCTATTTGCAAGAAGGAACACTACAAATAAAAAGGAAATGCTCTCAGTACCATGAGAAAAATGGATTTAAAACCAATGTTTTTGTCATAAAGCAAACCCACAGTACCAATCTTGCACTGATAGGGCAGACAGAAGTATTGCATTAGCTATCACCTCAAGTTTCCAATTTCATCTGTAATGGTTTGAAAAACGCATGTAATCAGGAAACACAGAAAGTGTGTAAACACAATTAGCAAATGAACAAGAGCAGAATACATAGGAAGTGAAGAGCAGAGAGATCTTCTGCCCTAAAAAATGATGATTTAGATAAATTAAAAATTAGTTATTATTCCTTAAACACAAGCATCATGTCCACGTGCTCTATTCTATAAGCAAATCTGTTTTGGCTATATACACTTGTATATACAACACATGTCCATATACTTACACGTACATATACACTTCTATCTGCAACAAACTCAAAAGTTTCAATTAATCGCTCAGAGTGTTGAGAAGCCTCAAATCTAAGCCAAATACAAAACCTTATGTCTGCCCACTTCTGTATATGCTGCCAAACATTACAGTAGAGATCCTATACTATTCCTCAGACACAATAGTTTCAACAAGCTTTTCCCATGTGGAAACTAGCTCTGAGCAATTTTCTCAATCAAAATTAAACAGGGCTGCTCAAATGTCAAATGCCTGTGCACAGCTGCTCCAAATCTGGTGGCTGACAGCATTTCAATGGGTACATTGGGTGTGCAAAGCAAATAATTTTTTAAGTCCAAGCTATTCGCTGCAAGTTAAGAGAAACACAGAACTGCCTGTACTTCACTTAAAAAAAACTCCATGAATTTGTTTTGTATCTGTTCACTTTAAAAATTAACCATATGTTGCTTCAACTAAGCAATTGCAAAAGCTTACAAAACAGCTTTGGAAAGCTTTCTACTAACAGTGCATGTGCTGAGCATCTTCTGAATGTGGAACCCATTCCCTCAAAGGAGCAGTCCTGCCATTACTGCAGTGAATCTTCTGCATTATAGGAATGTGCAGCAAACTGCTAGTAAAAATATACCTGCATCTGTTCATCTGTCTAGCTCATAAATGAGCTGCACTGAAGTCTGGATGTCCTGTTAAGTGAAGCAACTACTTCGGTTTACATCTGTAAACAGAAAGGCTAACACAAGAAGTGACAAATTTCTGGACTACAACTGAGCTCTTGTGGGTACCTTGTTCACCACTGATTCAAGATGGACTGCTTTTTCTGTTTGTTCAAGCCTCTGCATTTTGCTCATCATTAGGCAATGCTACTGGGATTATGTAAGGATTCAGCAGAAAGGAGAATACTAACACGGGGCACAAACTGCGCTGCATACTGAGGGGGAAGAAATCTGTGTCCCTCCACCTAGTGGGTCAAAATTTTTACTGAAATATTTAGTATTTCCTAAGTGGTTATGAGCTTTTATAAACTCTATCCACATACACAATATTAAACTCCCATATACTAAGGTAAGTGGGGGTGGTGAGGCACTGGAACAGGTTGCCCAGATAAACTGCCAATGCCCCATCCCTGGAAGTGTTCAAGGCCAGGCTGGATGGGACTTGGAGCAACCTCCTCTATTGGAAGGTGTCCCTGCCCATGGCAGGGGGGTTGGAATGAGATGACCTTTGAAGGCCCTTCCAACCCAAACCTTTCTGTGATTAGGATTCCTTTAAATCACCATTCACAATACATATTGACATAGAAAGACGATTACCTTAACAGTATCAATAGGGCCCCCATCAAATACGAGTTAAAAAGGGGAAATGGTTTTGAGCTGAAATCAGGATACAGACACTTTTCTTTCTATATTAATTCTGAAACGTGGGTTAAGTTTATACCCAAAGTTACAGTCTCATAGCTGTTGAGAAACTTACAGCAAAGTAGTTAGCTGGCAGTTCAATTCTTACAAGACTGTCAA